TTTTTGTCATTGTCTTTTCCTGAAACAACACTGACTTAGCCTGTCTCTGCAACTTGTGATTCAAAAATCGCGGGAAGAAAAATTATACCAAATTATAACTTTTGTTTAAAGTAATATCAAGACTGAAACAGTATTTGTCTTTTAAACTGAAAAAACATCATTAGCAGCCAGTTTATTTCTTAAAACTCCAATCAAACATCTGGATATATATCAAACATCGGAAAAATGTGTCAAGTGTCTTACTCTAGGAAGCTTCATTTTTCTGTCTGTAGGAGAAAGGCAAAAATAACAAAATTAAACTGAGTAAGTTTCAGACAGGACACAAGTTTAAAACGTTTGATTCCAACAGAGTGAGTATCATCCAGGATCGATGGACGAGCCAAGTAAAACACTTATTGTATAGGAAGCTGATCATATTTTTAATAACCATTTAAATTTTAGTGAGTGTGTTTTTAAGCGCTACTTTTTATGACTTAATTCATTTACTCATCATTCAAATATCCGATGTGAAAAGTGTTTGTTCTCTCAACAAATTAATATATGAAAATTTTGCTTTTGCTTTTCCAAAATTTGCATTTAAAACCCGAGCCGTATGTGAACAAAAGGAAAGAGGCATGCCTCTGTTTTTCTTTTTACTGCAACCAAGATAAAGAGTAGAGGGTGGGGTTCCCATTATGATCATCTTTATTGTTGTTGTTATTATTATTATTAATATTATTATTAATATTATCATTATTGCCGTTACTGTTACCATTACCCCTAACCAGTGTAATTGTTGTCCTTATCATACAAATACTTGCTTATTTTGAGGGTGGTCACTTTTTTCATATCCCTGTACATATACTTATACGTATATTTCTGACCAGTTTTTGCAGTGGCTTGCTGTCAGTTTTTCAAGTATTGAATCGGACACTTATGTTTTCACACAATGGCTTTTCCGTAAGGACTTGCAGCTGTATGTTAAGAAGAAAAAAACTTTAAGTAAACACTAAATTCATGTATTCCTAGTAGGCTCACGTTTTTGCCATCCTTGTAAGCATCTGATCAAACAGGCAGTGCCAATCTATTGTTGCTCTCTTTGATGGTACTTCGTATTTTAACGGGATGTTTACAATTGATAATGGACCTTCCCCTAACATAACATCACGTAAAACCCTCTAAACATTTTAAAATCACTTTTTTGCGCGATTTTGGATTATTAAGGCTACAATTTCCACTTGAAGGCGACGAAAAACTGTTTAAGGGATCGTTTACACTACTGATGAGGACAGCGAAAACCCATAAAAGGTCTATCAAAGTCACCAAATTAGCTCTTTGAGAAAATCGCTACGGCTTAAGGACATTAGATATGTCGTTCAACTGCAAAATGTTAGAACTTAGTTTCATCTTGCTTAGATCTAAGAAAATAAATAGTTAGAAAAGAGCGTAAAACACAGGGCTTAGCCAAAAGAGCTGCGACTATTTTTTAATGTACCAAGACTTTCTAAAGGTCTTAGGAAATGATAGATTTTCAAAATATGAAAATTATTGAAATGCTATTTCAAACTTGTCAAAATCTTTTTCAAACAAAAACGGAGCAGGACTTTGCTTTAAATCTTGGATTTCTTTGATCCATAACTAGCAGTTCACTTCTGGTGCTAGTAAAACAATCCTTCGTTTAAGGAAAGTTCTCTGCCTATGTGTCCTCCAAACGATGTTATACGATCGCCGAGTGCGAACAAGGCGTTGCTGAGCATTTCCAACTATATAACCTGGCTTTTTCTACAATACAAAGGTGGTATGAACATGGATAAAATTTCAGGAAATTGGAAATGAAATGAGTGGGATAATAACTAAAACCAGAGCACATTTTGTTTGTTTTTGATTTAAAGTTTCAGTTGTAGAGGATGGGGATCGTGCCAGACGATTAATTGTTACGAGAAAGCAATCTTTGTAGAGTATGTCTTGGTGACTATGGAAATGGGACGGTAAATCAGTCACAAACTGCATGTATCAAACTATTAGTGATTATGAGAAAGCTATCCTTGTTGCATTAACAAAATAAATCAGTCAGCCAATAAGTTTTTTCCATGCACGTGTGGTTCGAATTCTGTCGTATCAAACTATTTGTGCTACAGATAATTTAGTGTTAGCAACTGAGTTGAAAACGTAAATTAGCCGCCGTAAAGGGTAAAAAGCTGACGTTTCGAGCGTTAGCCCTTCGTCAGAGCGATTGGAGGAATTGTGGGTTGTGTGTGGGTTTATATGCAGAAAGTGGAGCTACGCCATTGGTGGGAATGTGGTGACGAGAAAACAGGAATAAGTTAGTTAAATGAAAAGCGCTCATTGATTCCGTGGAGATTAAGGGTGCCGATTTGGAAGAAAAATTTTTATTCTAGTCTTTTACGGCTTTCCGAACTGCCTAGATTTAAGGAAAGGCCGCAAACTGCCATATGCTGTTTAGAATGATTAGGAAGATTAAAGTGTCTAGCGACTGGTTTGGATGCGTCCTTGTCATTTCTTTCCACGTCGCTAAGGTGTTCTCGGAATCGGTCACCTAATCGTCTGCCTGTTTCGCCGATGTATAACTTATTGCAATAAGTGCAAGTTATGCAGTAAATAACATTGGCGGAGGTACACGTAAAATGATCAGTGATCTTAATGGATCTCTTGGGTCCCGATATTTTCTCTACGTTGTGAATGAAAGAACAAGTTTTGCATCGTGAGCGAGCACATTTGAAAGTTCCAGATTGGTCACTGGTTTGAAATGAACTCCTGACTAAAAAGTTGCCTATGTTTTTGTCATGTTTGAATGAAATAAGTGGGGGTTGCGAAAAGATAGTGCCAGTCTCTGAATCGTTTTGGAGTAATTTAAAATTTTTAAGAATGATAGATTTAACTGCGTGGTTGTGAGGGTGAAATGTAAGAGTAAATGGAATGCGGTCAGTGTTATCCTTCTCAGCCGTTTGTAGTGCTGACTGTCGATCAATTTGTTGGGCACGGTGGTGGTCCGCTAGAACGACAGAGACAGGATAGCCACGTTTATCGAAAAACTGGCACATTGCCTCTGACTTTTCGGAAAAATCAGACTGCGTCACTACATAAACGACGAAGTCTGAGAAACTGTGAAAAAGGTATGGAGTTCTTGACGTGTGATGGATGTGAAGATGAATACAACAAGTAACTATGTGAATCTGTAGGTTTGTAGTAAACAATAGTGCATAAACCGTTGCCTTCAATTGAAATTTTGATGTCTAGAAAAGCCAAAGAAGTGTCGGAAATTTCCCAGGTATATTTAAGAGCCGGATGAAAGGAATTGACGGCGGTTATAAATTGAGTGAGCTCCTCTTTGGTAGAGGGGGTAGCGCCGATAGAATCGTCAATGTAACGGCCGTAGAGTTCAGGTTTTGGGCCGTGGTATTGACTAAAAAAATGATGTTTGATAAAACCTACAAAAAGATTGACGTAGCTGGGTCCCATTTTAGTACCCATGGCCACGCCATTAGTTTGTTTGTAGTAGTTACCACCGAATGAAAAGCAATTGAGTGTGAGTACTAGTTCGGCCAGACGGAGTAGTGTTTCAGAGCTAGGCTCCTTAACAGTGCAATGATCGAAAAAATGTTTGAGGGCCCGGAGACCTTCGTCATTGGGAATGACAGTATACAGAGATGTTATATCCATAGTGAAAATAAGTTTGTTATGGCCGAGGAAACTAAAGTCACGAAAAATTTCAAGTGCGTGTTGACTGTCCTTAATGTAGTTTCTGCTATGGAGAGGGAATTTCAATTGTCTTTTGTGAGTCCAAAAAAGCTAAATATCAACGGCCATTCAAACTTGAGGAAAATTTCAGAGAAGCTATTGAGAGCATCTTGCAAACGAAAGCATGCTGCTCCAGGCGCTGGCAACTTGAATGACAGATAGTAATCGGTTTTGGTTTTGCATCTGATTGGTTAAGACAAGTTATAGATTTGTACTAGAGCAATCACAGAAATCACAACGTAAAGTAAAGCAAAACTATTACAGTCACGGATAAATCTCGACGCTTACTAGTTAGTAGTTAGTATTAGTAGTAGTAGTACTAGTAGTAGTTAGTAGCAGTTAATAAATGCCTTTGTTTGTAAATAGCTTCATAATCCAAGGTTCAAGATATCCCCTGGTGCTTAGGACCAAATCCATTTAAAAATTTACTCTACCATTTTCTACATCTAAACGCGAGTTTCTTCAATTGTATACCAACTGATTAGTCAATAAACACATCTTCAACAAATTTGTAGAGGCAGGTGTGTGTGTGTGTGATTTAGTTATTTACATATATTTTTGTTAAAACTCTTATCAACCTAAGTGTCTCTGAGGTATTGTAAAAAGAATGATCAGCCAAACTACGCATATTCATATAGTTTGCCTCTTACATCAGGGAGATTTAAGTGGTTTTTTTCAGTAAATGACCAGTAGTTTGTCCTCATCGTTTACCTGAGGTGTCAAAATTGCTTATTATTTAGTTTCTCATTAAATCATCAGAATCTTGGCTGAAAGATACCGCGGTGTTGACAAAGTTAAAAACCTGAACGACCAAGTCCGTGTCTTGAAGAACTCGTCATTTACAAAAGAAGTAGCAAATATACTCTTTTGTTTCACTAAAACTAGATGTAAAACCTGTTCAGGTGTTCCTTTGTTTTGCCATTATTGTCAATTAACGATTAAGTAAACTCTGTTTACATGAATTAATGAAATTTCTTTATCTTGTTCAGCAACGATAAAGAGTACTTCTTGCCTCAAATACCTCTGAAAAGTTTTACATGAAATTAAGTCAACAATTAAAATTGGTTAGGAAGCCATATAAGAGGTTCCTTTGCCATTTATTTTTGGGTTTTTGTACCGTGCTAAGTGCCTGACGCGTTTGTTTGTAGGAGTCGTAGCATGTTTCATTTTGGCAAAACAAATTTGCGTATTGACCTCAGTGTCAGCTTATAATACAGTAACAACTCTATAAAACTCATTAAAATTGTGTTTATTGTTCACAGTTCACTGAGCTGGCTGCCAATATGTTGGTGTTTTCTGTGTTACTGGTGAACGTGGCTTTCGGAGCTGGTAAGGCTGGAAAAAAATCTTTATAATTTCGATTCTTTCTTCAGATCATTGTATGCAATGTGCTTAGTTGTACAAAGTATTTCTTAGTCGATATTTCTTTAGAGATTAATAATGAAGCTGGGTTCGTAAGCAAAAGGAGTACCTAAAAGACAGATGAATAACCAAAAATTAGAGATCTATCCAATTCGAACATCGATCATTAAAACTTAATGAATGATCGTTTTTACATCGCTTACCGGTTATATACAACGCTTCTTTGATTGATTGACCTGAAGCTTGCTAAATAGTCCAAAACATTTTATTAGAAACTGTATAATAGATTTTTTTAAAATAAATAAGTAAGTAAGCAATTTTTTTTTCTCAAGGCCTCGTCTGCAATTTTGAAAAAGATTTCTGTGGTGGCATTCAAGAGAAACAGCCACATGACAAATTTGATTGGGACCGTCGGAGGACTCCAACATCGTCAGGTGGAACAGGGCCATCGATTGGATACGGGGGAAAAGGTATGGAAAATAAAACTGGTCAAAAGCAGATCGAACTAAAAAAAAGAATACTCGTACGTAATTTGTGTTCAGCAGCTAGATTTAAAAACTATTGAGAAAATGTGGAAAGTGCTTCGTGTCTCAAACTTTTTTCATTGTTTTCGTAAACTGGTGACAGTTCTTTTATGATGTCGAAGTTTATCTGTAATTTTACTCGTGATTGACCAAGTGGACACTCGATTTGCGGTTGTTTTAATTTCAAGCCCCAAATAGTTACAAACCGAATTTTATTCCCTTCGCACCCTATCAACGCCATTAAAACCTTGGTTCTGGATGTAACTTACCTATACGAACAATTGAAAGAAGAACGAGTCAAAATTCGAAAACTGGACAACTATCGAATAGACATGTGAAAGCCGTTGACTATAACCAGCTACCCCCTCAAGTGAGGATGAATAATTTTGATAAATTTCTTGGTATGAAAGCGATCAACGTGCCTTTTTCAGTGCAAGCTTCTTGTTTAAAAATTTGCTGATAATATATGTACTTGACAACTACAACAAACATGTTTTCTTCTTTCTATCCGCTGTAAAATTTCTAAGTGTATTCAATAGCTCAGTTTTGAATTACGATTTTTCAAAGCGAGTTCTGATGCTCATCCTTTCACCCTTACGATATGATTAGAAGTCTCCACTCACATGCAAATTAAGGTCATTTTCATACCCATGGTTGAAATCAAAGGTGTACTTTGTTGTTGTTGTTGTTTTTTTTCAAGGATACTATGCATACATAGAGACATCCAGCCCTCGCAAACAGGGAGACGATGCCAAATTAGTGTATAGACCCAATCTGGGGAACAGAGAATCGTGCATCTCGTTTTACTATCATATGAAAGGAAAAGGCATCGGAGAACTGAATGTAAAAGTGAACGGGAAAATAATTTTCAAGAAAAATGGTCAGCAGGGTGTAGACTGGAAAAAGGCGCAGATCAAAGTGAAAGAAACAGCTCGAATAGTGAGTGAGCCTGCGATACATCACAATTAAATACCATTTAACAATTATTAAATACTAAATAATACATCTAATATCAATAACTTTATAGTAATATGCAAGAACTGAAAAACAAATGAACTAAATTAAAATATTACTGAATATTTCCTTTATATTTATATTGCAGGTTATCTTTCAAGGAATCCGTGGAAGAAGCTGGCAGGGCGATATTGCTATTGATAATATTGAAATACTTGGTTGTGGGGGAGAAGGTATTGAGTTAATCTTGTTATGGATGAATTTATCTCGCAGGAGCTTTATTTGTTCTGCATTTTTGTATTTGTAAGCGGTACTGGACGTCAGTCTAAATCGGTTTGAAAGAATCAACTACGGTTTGATAAAATTTAGTTGACGCACGGGTTTTTTCTGTCTCTAGCTAAGTTTCTTATGTCAAAGCACTACAGTCTTTGAGTTCAAGACAGTTTTTACCAAACAGGAGCACATCTTAACGGCCATTAATTCGTCCTCTTTGTTTAAGGTGGAGAGACACCCCCACCCCCACGAAAACCGAGCCCGCCGGTATCTCCCTCCAAAGGTCAGTGAAAATATCATATAATAATCATTAAAAATGCGCGGTGGTGCAAATAAGAAAATATACTCACGGATATTGCTTTGAACTGATATCATATTTACGTACGATTTATCATCTGTTGGGAAAAATTGGCATATGAATCACAGGGATGTTCTATGCTATAATTTTAGGAGGTTGTGGAACACGTTCGTCTGTTAGGATCGTCGGAGGCTCGACTGCCAAGCGTGGAGACTGGCCTTGGCAGGCGATGCTACGAAGCAGCTCTGGTTATCCCTACTGTGGAGGAACTTTAGTAACTCCATTTTGGATCGTAACTGCAACCCACTGTGTCAATGGAAAGTCACCCAGTGAAGTTTTTGTCCGGTAACAGATATATAAGTTAATTCACTTTATCGCGCTTTTCAACATGTGAGCTGTTGGTTACTCATTGGGAATGCTTTTAACTGAACTGTCAATCAATTTGCGAAACGTTTCGGAGACAAGCTAGTACACTGTTTAAAAGAGTTCAAAACTTCATGTTCCTAGTATCAAAGACTTTTGAACTCTAACTTGCCATTTCTTTGTTTACGTTTCCTTTTCACTTGTAGTAAAACACCACAAAATGATATTAACGATCAGTCCAAGAAGTTTGCGTGTTCATTACATTTTTCTCTTGTCGTCCTTGGAATAAGCGGTAATGTCGGTAATAATATGTTTCATACTTAAAACATTGTTTATGGTTGTCTGTTTGTTTGTTTATTTTGTAGTCTTGGCGCCCATAGTCGTGTATCAGAGGTTGACACTGAACAGGATTTTAGGGTCACGAAGGTTATTACACACCCACTCTACCACAAACCAAAAAGTTACAGCCATGACATCGCACTCTTAAAATTAGACAAACCGGCTCGGCTAAACAGGTTTGTATCAACGTACTCTGTAATTTCTTAGAAATGCGTCGTATAATAGAATATATCCGTAATCACATCAATCTGGAAAATTTCGAACATTCCTCAACTAACAGCTATGAATTACTCACATTTTTTTAAAATTACAATCAGCGATCATCTTATGAAAGCTCATTTCTTTGTGAATTAATTTACGTGAAAAATCTGTTACTTGTTAAACTGAGTGGTGAGTATTTGCTAAACTTGATTTAACTTTGAAAAAATTCGTAAAAGTTATAATCACTTTTCCTTCCCTCCTCCATAAATAACTGTAAATAGTTTACTTAAAAGTTAATGATAAATTTTCCACCTTTTTTGCAGTTACGTGAATACCGCATGTCTTCCAGAAACTATCGAAGCGCCCGTTGAAGGGAAACGCTGTTGGATCACAGGCTGGGGTAGACTGTCCTCTGGGGGTGCCACACCGGATGACCTTCAGCAGGTCTCTGTTCCAATTGTTGGCCCCGCTCGCTGCGAGAAGGCATATCCAGATAAAATCCATGATTCAATGATCTGCGCAGGGGTGGATGAAGGAGGCATTGATTCCTGTCAGGGGGATAGCGGTGGACCGATGGTATGCGAGAGTGGCGGCCGATTTTACTTGCAGGGTGCGACCAGTTGGGGATATGGCTGCGCTGCTGCGGGAAAGTTTGGTGTTTACGCTAAAGTCAAGTACCTCCTGCCTTGGCTCAAAGAGAAAATGCGGCACAATTGAAAAAAGAAAATGAGCTGAACAAAGAAAAAATTTGACAATTGATAGTTTGATTGCAAGTGTAAGCCAATAACATGATACTAAAAACCCAAAGGATGTAGTAACTGAAGAAGATGCGAATAAATATTAACCTAATGCTACTCGAATCGAATAAATTATTTTTTTGTATACTTTTATCGCTGCCATCACTTTCATGGCACCAGGCCTCATCTTCACTGTCATCATGTTGCGGTGAAGATGAGGCCTGGTGCCATCAAAGATGGTAAAGAGATCGACCCTTGCACTTGGAAAATTCTTGAGACATAATCCTCAGCGTTACTGTCATGTTTGCGTGATGTTCTTAAGTATTGTTTGTCCGCCGAAGTATTTTTGAAGAGCAAAATATTTGGTCAAAACTCAGATCGGAGGAAATATTGCTCCAGTGAAGGCCGTCAGGTTTTGACTTAACTTGGAGATATTTAAATTTATACGAAAGTGAAAAAGGCATCCAGAAGGAAATGAATCGAAGTAAAGAGTCTCCATTAGCCGAAACCCGAGGAGAGGTTGAAGGAAAGATTGTAAGGTCAGATAGCCATGCAACCATGTTAGATCTGATGGTCGAGCTAAGTAACTCTTCGTGGTAAACATCACATGATTCAAAAATAAATCAAGTCACACGGCTTACTTTTTTAAAATTTTATTTTCGTAATTTTCGTAGTTTCACTGTAGTTGCTTCCTCAAGAGCTGGAACCTCATTTAACTTGGTAACTTAATTCCTAGCCATTTCTTTCTTCAGCCATTCCAAAAGGTATTTTACCCTAGCATAGACACCATACTTATTAGGCCTGCCACATCCTTTTCCCCAACTAGTCACACCCTGTAGGTAAAACTTTCCGCCGGTCTCACACACCATGGGTCCTCCACTATCCCCTTGACAAGAGTCAACACCACCTCGGTCCAGCCCGGCACAAATCATGGACTCGTGAATCTGTCCCAAGTAAGACCACTCACAGCGGTTCCGTCCCACTATCGGCACAGTCGCCTGCTTCAGAACCTTCCCACTCGAGCCACCGACCGAAGCTGTCTTTCCCCACCCTGTGATCCAGCATTTGGTTCCTTCAAGTGGAGCTGGGATACTTTGAGGAAGACATACCAGGTTCACCTGCCTAAACACAAGGAAGAGGAAAACAAAATAACAAAATCTATTTCAAATTAACGATATTCTTTACTGCTTACTCCTGTGGAGATAAAAAGCGTTCTCTTCGTTTTTTTGGTTGTCCCTATGGTCGGACTTTGCTGGGTTATTCAAAAGTTCCTTGTTCATTCTGAGCGAGTATGGCATGTCATCAACAATTTTTTAACGGAGAGAATTATTTTTTGAATGATACAACTCAGTACCCGCAAGAAATCTCCACCGAACAAATGGAAGCCAATACAGATGAATTGGCTGTTAACTAAGATTACAAAGCACAGATGAGTGCGGAGGAGTTCATCGCAGGGAAATCGGGAAGGAAATCCACTTGAGTAGCAAAGTGAAAGAGTTGAACCAAGAAAGTTAAGATTAAGATATACTGAAAACTTAAGATTTCAAACCTAGTGCCTTGAATTCAAATATTTAGGTCATGGGGATATAAAATCATCACCAACTAAAGTTTCGGAGACTTTTGATTGATGAAAAAATATCCGCGTTAAAACCAAAGGAATATTATCAGAGAACAGCATTAACCATGCCACGTCCATAAACGCTCCCGGACGAGAAAAACATTTCTGATATTTTCGGGGGATTGCAATGCACAGAGAGTGAACTCACCTGGTGAGTGCAGCCGGTCTATCCAGCTTGAGAAGTGCGATATCATGACTCATCCCAATTGGTTTGTGGTACAATGGGTGTAAAATAATTTTACTGGCTGTGAAGTCCTGTTCTGTTCCCATACTTTCTGACTGTTTGTGAGCACCAAGCCTGTAAAGAAAAAAAAAACATAACATATGTAAGGTTTTTCCTTTCTCTTCTCTACTGTTCTCCGTAAGGAAAAGTCAGGGAGGGGGGAAGGCGGCTTTTGCAGTTCATGCAAGCTTTTTAAAGTGGCTGTAGAGCTCAAACAGTCAAACAATGGTCGCTTTAGCTTCGGTTTGCTAGTCCTGATCATGTCAGTCTTGGTAACTTATTTCATGTTGTTTTGTATGCATCCTGGTCTGATTTTTCTGAAAATTTGAAAGATCTTAGTTAATTACACCTCTGTTTTTTGCTCACGTGCGGTAGATAGTGTAAAATTTTTCGATAGCCGGACGAAAAGCTTTTAAAGGAGTGAATCATGATATCATATGATATCGTTGGAAAATGTCAACGATAAAAGTCGTGGACTAACTGCGCATGCAGGGATACTCCAAGTACGAGAGCCACGAGTTAAAAAAACAAACTAACAAAATAGATATTGAGGATGAAATTTGCGGATTTTGCACGTTACGTTATAGTTCACTAAGATTCTGAAAGGAGCAGTCCACGCCTGTAATATTGTCCTCACGTCCAGTTACATGACCTGTCCTTATTTCATATTTTACCTGATATATACGGGATCTCCGCCTGCCTTCGAGACACAGTGACTGGCCGTGACAACCCACTGAGGAGCGACTAAGGTACCACCGCAGAACACATACCCAGTGGGAGACCACCTCAGCATCGCCTGCCATGGCCAAGCCCCCGGTTGTGCATTTTCACCACCAACTATCCTGGTGGTAGGACGGAAGCCACACTCGCCTGAAGGAAAAAGCTTGTTGAGTGTTGAGGGATTAAAATGCATGTTGTTACGTCCTTACTATCAAAAGCGTTGCTCAATTTACCTCTCATAATAAAAACGGAAGATACCTGTTGGTGGAACCGCTGTATGTGGACGAGGCGGCGGAATAGTTTCTGGTTGAGGTGCTGGCGGTTTCATTGTGGCTATAGAAAAATTGTTTCAAATCATTAAGTGGTTAGGTACTTTTGTACAAACTGTCGGCTTTGTGAACGTTTATTGGAAAATCATCCATAGATAAATCACAAATTGAAGGAAAAACCCTTTTTTGCCACGCACATATTGAAAATGCACCACATTCAATAATCAGCTCACTCATAAATTAAAATAATTCTGAATATAAATTTTGTTGTTAAATTTCAAAGTTAGGTCAACCGTATTCCTTTTTATCCTACCATCTCTCCTCCACTTGGTTTGTCGAACGTGTGTGCGGAGAACCGAAATATTTTGAGGGGATGGCTTTACTTTCATTCAAATAAGCTGTAATCTTTCTCGTTTTACCAGTGTATACATACGAAAGGACTGAAGACCATTGCTATGGAACAAAATACAGATGAAATTAGTAAGAACTTACCTTGGCCACCACCCCCTTCCCCACAGTTTTCTATCTTCACTTCATCAATCGCCACGTCAGACTGGTGGCCTCGTCCTACAATTCCTTCAAACACAACCTGTTCGTGCAAATGGTAACATTTCAAATTAGCGTTTGATTATTGATTTTCGCGTGAAAAAGGGGAGTATGAAATCAGTTTATTTGAAACGCTGCTAGTAGAGCTAGAGCTCTTCATCAGTTCAAATTATTTTCTCGCTGGTCACTGTGCCGTGGTAGTTAGCATACGGGGAGCTTTTTCTCTTAATCTCATTTTCAAGACTAATAAGCAGCCTGAGAACTTAGAGCCATATTAAAGTTTGAGTCACAAAAGCAAAGATCCTTACTGATGAAGCACCTCCTTCAACAGTGAACTCAGCTTTACGCCAGTCGTTTCCTTGATGTCCACTTTTCTCGAAAACTTGATTTCCGTCCACCAGCACCCGAAGCGTTCCCATTTGACCACCACGCATGTGATAAAAAAAGGAAATGCAGGTCTTTCCAGAGGCAAGATCAGGGAGAATCTCTAACTTGGCGTTATCATCTTTTCTTTTTCGCGATGCTTCTATGTACATGTAGTAACCTGCAAGTGATGTTATATATTATATGATAAAGTGATACTATCACACTGACTCAAAAAAATGAAAAATCTACACGTCGCAATAATTTTTGCACTAGAGTATGGTGCGTTTGCGGTTGAAACAGAAGCGCTTGAGCTCTGCGCGTTCCGCGAGTTTCATGACGACATTTTCAAATAGCGCGACCTGTTACAGCTACACTCACATTGACCCATTACTTGCGTTCGCACATTTGCGGGCCTACTTCGCCCTCAAGATAACCACGTCGCGCGAAGGGAGACTTGTGGACATTTTGGTTTTTAGGTCGCTGTTTTCATATCAAAATGTGCTTATTTTGTGTGACCATTGGTGATCTCCTTAGGCCACTCGTTTATTTTCATCACAAAAGAAATGAAAAATAGTCTAGCTTAAGTTTCTACGTTCTAAATGCTGATATCGCATCAATCTTCAAGGAAAAATCTCAAACAACAATCGTTTTTGTCATGTGGGTACGCAATCTTTCGGCTTCAAAAGAGCGTTACCTCTTCCTTTTGCGTCAGAGTAAGGACCTGTACCCCCGGAGGATGTCGCACCCTTTTTCCTGGTCCAATCGAACTTGTCATCTCGTCGTTGCACAAACCCACATTGGCTGCGATCGAAATTACAGTAAAATCCTGAAAAAGGGTAACAACATTTATTTGAATAAGATGACGTTTGCGTGGAGTTAATAATGCTGTAAATACTCTGGCAGTGTATACTCTGCCAGAAAAATTCTGTGAAACGGTTAGTTACTGATATCCTTTTAGAAAAACAATGCTAAATTGTTGCAGCGAGAGGTGTTTTCTTAAAAACTCATACGAAAGGAACAATAAAATAAGATATTCATTCAGCGTCTGAGGGATTATTTTACGGCTACTATGTTCTATGTCGAACAGAAACCCAAAGTGCTGCAGTATTACCATGGATCCTGCCCAAAAGCCCCACCAAAGAGGCGACCATGAGTAAAAACTTCATGTTCAACTAGAGGGAACTGGTATTTGAGGCCTGTCCACTTTCAGTTTAAATACATCAATTAAGATTAGCATTCAGAGTTTAAATACCTTTATCATTAACCCACAACTGTTAAAACAATGCATTTGCTTGAAAATCCGATTCCTAATTGAAGAAACCTATAATGCTTCAGAGAATTTCGTTTTCTTCGAATCTGAATAGGAAGACAAAAT